CCCCATAGGGAGCTCCACCGAAGGTCCCAGTGGGTGTGCCCGCATGCGTCCCGCACACCCATTTCGGCACACCCCTCACACGTTTCGTGGCCCCATAGGGAGCTCCACCGAAGTTCTCAGTGGGTGTGCCCGCATGCGCCCCGCACTCCCATTTCGGCGCACCCCTCACACGTTTCGTGGCCCCATAGGGAGCTCCACCGAAGGTCTCAGTGGGTGTGCCCGCATGCGTCCCGCACACCCATTTCGGCACACCCCTCACACGTTTCGTGGCCCCATAGGGAGCTCCACCGAAGGTCCCAGTGGGTGTGCCCGCATGCGTCCCGCACACCCATTTCGGCACACCCCTCACACGTTTCGTGGCCCCATAGGGAGCTCCACCGAAGTTCTCAGTGGGTGTGCCCGCATGCGCCCCGCACTCCCATTTCGGCGCACCCCTCACACGTTTCGTGGCCCCATAGGGAGCTCCACCGAAGGTCTCAGTGGGTGTGCCCGCATGCGTCCCGCACACCCATTCCGGCACATCCCTCACACGTTTCGTGGCCCCATAGGGAGCTCCACCGAAGGTCCCCGTGGCGCAGTCCACATGCGTCTCCTTTGCCTAGTACAGCGTTACGTGGCCCCATATGGAGCCCCACCGCAGGTCCCAGCCAGCCAGCTAGCTCTCTTTGCTCCGCGCAGCGGGCGACCCGCGCGCGTCGCTGGGACTCCTCCGGGGCGACCTGCGCGCGTCGCGGGGGCTCCGTGCTGCGTTCCGCCCAGCGCCTCGCTCGCCCGTCGTCGCTCTGCCCAGCGGCAAGAGCCTTGCCCGCTATCAGCCAGCCAGCTAGCTCTCTTCGCTCCGCGCAGTGGACGACCCGCGCGCGTCGCTGGGACCCCTCCGGGGTGACCTGCGCGCGTCGCGGGGGCTCCGCGCTGCGCTGCTCCCGCAGCCTTGGACTTTTGAGTGCGCGGGCAAAGAGGGAGTAAAGGAAGGGGAGGAAGCGGGCGCGATCCTCGCGGGGGGGCGCGCCGACATTGGCGTCGCGGCGCGCGGGCGATGCCGTCGGGGAGTCCCGGGGAAGCTCCTTGCGGCGGCCACGCCCAGCGTCACGAGTATTCAGAGGCAGTCGTTGTCAAACTATTGGCATTCATACACATTTGCACCACGCTTTGTCATATTCGCATTCATGCACGTAGACTCGCTCGCACGCAGATCATTCACAGTCAGACGCACGCGCGCAGATTCACCCGCGCTCAGTCTCCCTACGTACTCAGATCAATCGTTTTCGTTCGCTTTGTGTACCACGCCACTCATGTCGGCACGCCCCTAGCACGGTTCGTTGCCTCATAGGGATCGCCACCGAAAAAATGAATCACTATTGCGGTACTCGCACCTGCATATGGTTGGGTCCCTCGTCAGGCTAATTCTTCGTCTCATCCTCGTCCTTCTCTTCCTTCATCTCCTCCTCCTCCTCCTCCTCCTCCGCTTGCCTCGTCTCCTTCTTCGCCTGTTCCGTCGCTTCCTCATTCTACAGGAGGAAGGGGAGGTTGAGGAGTCATTCTCCCATCCTCATCCTCCTCCCTCCCCTCTTCTCCTCATCCTGCTCATCCTGCACAGCCATATCCTCCTCTCTGCACTCCTTTTGTGAAGGATCAGCACATGAATTTCCTCTGTGAGGACGTTACACGTCGATTCCCTTTGTAGACGAACTGCCCATCGATGAGCTGTGTGGGCCGTGGGAAACCAACAAAACACAATGACAGCCAACTGCCATAACAAGAAACCAATGACCCATGACTGCGGCGTGACAGCGAGACACCCGTGGCCCTCAACGCTGCCTCATGAAAGATACTTCTCATCGTGAGTGTCTACCGGAGGTTCATGCGGCGCTGTCGCGCCGGCGACGCTGGCGAAGGCGTTCAAGCTTGCATTCTGCGACGCGGAGGCACCGACGGACACGGTAACGCCACTGGACCCGACTGAGTTCAACCTCGAACGATCGGGGCCGCGATCGATTCAAGGTCGAGCGATCGGCGCGGTGTCAAAGACCTTTGCGCGCCGACGCCGCACGCACCTACCGTACAGTCAGCCTGCATAAAAAGGAGTTGTCAACCTTCCTAAGGATACCCTTGCATCCTTGCCTCCTCGGTCCATCCTTGGCCGCTTTCGTTGGCCGCGCCCCGTCCGCAAAGTGTCAACATGGCCCCCCAAGGCCCTTGCATCCTTACCGCGCATACTTACCACAGGGGTTGGCTGTACCGTACTGTGTGCGCTCGCCGACGCCGCACGCACCTGCCGCACTCTATTGCATGCCGCCCGCGGACAGGAAGAGCCCACCTTCCGCGTGGTGCGGAGGCTCCTCGGCCCCCACGGGCAGCACGTGAAGCGCATCGCCGAGCTCACCGGCGCCAGGCTGCGGCTCCGCGGCCGGGGCTCCGGCTTCCTCGAGGGGCCCGAGCAGCAGGAGCGGCGGGCGCCGCCCCTTCCCGACGCGGGCCTGCCTTGCGCACCGCCAGCTTGCCTCGATCAGGTTTGAGAGTGTTTGTGTTACCCTCTGGGTCATGGCGCGCGCCATGCCTCCTACCCTCCCCCCCCCCCTCCCCCCCCGATGACGCAACGCTCTCCCCCATCACAGTGCGTCCCCAGCACTGGCGCAGTGCGCCCGGCACCACAGTTTGGGGAAACCAAAAGGGTACCGATACCGCTGCTCCCCAGACCTGTCGAGGCGAATCCAGCGGCGGCGACGCGGGCGCCCCAGGAGGTCCAAAAAAGCGAAAACGACGCAAGGGCAGCGGTACAGATGTCCTTTCCTCCTCTGGCAGTCGGGGGGGCGGAGGGCGCTATGTCATGCCCCCTCCCGTCACCCTCCCCTCCTCCCCGTGACGCCCCTTATGGCCGCGAATGAAAAACGTGCGCTCCTTCTTCATCGAGAGTAACCCCTAACCCTAATAACACAGTGAAGACGTGGCCTCACTGAGGTCCTCGTCTTTGCGTTAGGGATACTAGTTCTGGGCGGCTTTGTGGGATACATCTGCAGAAAAGAGCCCCTATCCCTAAAGTTTTCGGCCCTCCTAACTTAGGCCCCTCCCAAAGGGTTAGGGGCTCTTTTTCCCAACCATCCTGTGGTGTTGGGTCCTCGTTTTGAAGAGACGGTCCCCGCGTTCTCCTTCTCTCCTCCTCTTCCCCCTCCTCCTCCACCGTCCGCATGCGTCCTGCACACCCAGTACAGCGTTTTGTGGTCCTCCTCCCCCTCCTCGCTGCGTTTCACCCACCCAGTACAGCGTTTCGTGGCCCCATAGGGGGCCCCACCGAAGGACCCAGTGCTACCGTCCGCATGCGCCCCGCACACTCAGTACAGCGTTTCGTGGCCCCATAGAGAGCTCCACCGAAGGTCCCAGTGCTACCGTCCGCATGCGTACCGCTCACCCAGTACAGCGTTTCGTGGCCCCATAAGGAGCTCCACCGAAGGCCCCAGTGCTACCGTCCGCATGCGTCCCGTACAGCGTTTCGTGGCCCCATAGGGAGCTCCACCGAAGATCCCAGTGCTACCGTCCGCATGCGTCCCGCACACCCAGTACAGCGTTTCGTGGCCCCCCCTCCTCCCTGCGTTTCACCCACCCAGTACAGCGTTTTGTGGCCCCATAGGGAGCTCCACCGAAGGTCCCAGTGCTACCGTCCGCATGCGTCCCGCACACCCAGTACAGCGTTTCGTGGCCCCATAGGGAGCCCCACCGAAGGTCCCAGCGCTACCGTCCGCATGCGTCCCGCACACCCAGTACAGCGTTTCGTGGCCCTCCTCCCCCCCCTCCCTGCGTTTCACCCACCCAGTACAGCGTTTCGTGGCCCCATAGGGAGCTCCACCGAAGGCCCCAGTGCCCCCGTCCGCATGCGTCCCGGAAGCCCAATTTGGTATTTTTGCCCACCCAGTGCAGCGTTTCGTGGCCCCGTAGGGGGCTCCACCCAAGGCCCCAGTGGGACCGTCCGTATGCGTCCGGGAAATGTAATTTGGCATTTTCACCCGCGCAGAGCAGCGTTTCGTGGCCCCATAGGGGGCTCCACCGAAGCCCCCAGTGGGACCGTCCGCATGCGTCCTGGTAACCCAATTTGGCATTTTCACTCACTCAGTAGAGCGCTTCGTGGCCCCATAGGGAGCTACACCGAAGCCCTCAGCTGGACCGTCCGCATGCGTCCCGGAAACCCAATTCGGCACACCACCCACACAGTACAGCGTTCCCCCCCGCCCAGTGCAGCGCTTCGTGGCTCCATAGGGAGCTTCACCGAAGCAGATATTCACAATTACGGTACCCACAACTGCATATGCTTGGGACCTCCGCCAGGATAATTTTGGTCAATCACTTGTTTCGTGCTGGGTGCCGCGTGGGCGCTCCAGGAAGGGCCTCCCCCTCCGAGGAAAAGATCGAGCGAGCTGACGCCTCGCTTCCTCGGTTTGAGGGCGGCGGAAGGCCGGCGGAAGGCCGGCGGGAGGCGGCGCTCGTCCTGGGGCTCAGTGTCCTGGGGGTCGGTCCCGCCTTGTGCATTCGAGGGCTCCGATCGGTTAGGTTCGATTGCGCCGATGTCTTGCATTCGCGTGTAGACCTCGGTAGACAGTGTTACTAGCCCAACACTAGGCCTCCAGAGCTGTGGACGAGAGGGGCGAGTGGCTTGTGTGTGTGTGTGTGTGTGGGTGGAAGCAGCGCGGAAGCTGGCAAAAGGCCGGCGGAAGCCAGCGAAAGTACAGCATGCGCTCGCAAGAGATACTTTCGGGTTCAGGGTCTCCATCGAAGAAGAAAGCACGCTACAAACGTACATTTTGGGCGCTCCGCGCTGATTTTTTGGGATCTGCGCTAGGCTCCCCTTGGCGGCGCCTCCGGCGCCGCCCCTGGCGCGCTCCGCGGGCCAGGGAGGGGGTCCAGCGCAGGTCCAGAATCCGCGCGGACCGTCGAAAGTTTATGCTCATGTTGTTTTTTTCTTCCTCCACTCAAGAGATACTTTCGGGTTCAGGGTTTCCAGAGCCCGCCATGTGCTGTGCTATGCCATTCCGCGCTTCAATGCCCACGCTAGTCTGCTATTCTAGGTTTGGGGTTAGCTGCGCTATGCTACGACCTGCTGCGCTACTCTACGCCGTGCTATACATCGTCGGCTACGGTGCCGATGCAGATGCGAATGCAGTACCATGTGATATGATGCTGTGTGCTACGAGGCTGATGATGTACCACGTGATGCTAACACAATGCTTCGCTATGCTTATGCTGAGTGTTACCTCAAATGTGCTATCTAGATGCCTGCGACAAATCCGCTACCGTGCCAGCAATTTACTTTCTGTGGCGACCATTCGAGCACCGCCAAGAAGTCCGTCACAAGTCACACTTCTTATCTTCACTTCTTGACGAGCTCTCGTGGGGATTATTTGGGGCTATCTTGGGCTCCTTTGGGCCAGTCTTGCAGATCCCTTCGGGCCTCTTCGGTCGTCTCGAGACCCTCTTGGGCCGTCTCGGGGCTCTCTTGGGCCGTCTTTGAGCCCTCTTGGCCCCCTTGGGGGTCTCTCGGGGCCATCGTGAGGCCCTCTTGGGCCGTCTTGCGGCTTTCTTAGGCCGTCTTGGTTTTCTCTGGAGGCCCTCTTGAGCTAGCTTGGGGCTCTCTTGGGGCCGTCCAGGGGCGTTCACGGGGACCTCAACGCTCCTGATTTCGAAGACCGCAAGTGGACCGATCTTCAGTGTTTTTTGGCCTCTCGAGGGGCCTCATGGAGAGCGTTTTTGGGGTGTCTGGGGGCCTCTTGGAGGCCTCTATGGACCTATTCAGCGCATCTTGGGGACTGCTGGGTGAGTCGCCTCTTGCGGCATTGTCGGGCCATCGTGGTGGCCTTGGTGGCCTTCCTCGACCGTCGAGCGCGAGGGAGGCGTCGGGCCGCCCAAGATACCTGGGGAGTGTGTGTGGGGGGGGCGCATGCGACAATATGAGGAAAGTGGGGTTCCTTCAGAAGAAAGACTTCCAAGCATCCCGTCAGACAGCACTTCGCAGAGCACCACGCCTCAGCGTGCCACAGGGCACAGTGGCGGATTCCGCGATGTGCAGTGCCACTACGACTCGTCTGGCCCAGCACGCGGTTCCACCCGGCCTTGTCCGGAGCATCATTCGGCGGGGCGCCCACGTGGGAGCGCAGAGGGGGCGGGCTTTCTCAGAAGTCTCAGAAGGCCTACGGCCTTTCGAGAAGCTTTCTCAGCCTTCCCAGAAGCCACGGAGGGCTTCTCAGCAGGCCTGAGGGCTTCTGAGGAACCCCGCCGCCTTGGAGCAGGCCTGGCCACTCTCACTCCCCCCCTCGGCGCGCCGCCGAATCACGGCGGGTGACTGCAACTTCGCCACGCGATCGCTGTGGGCAGACTCGGGCCTAGGGGTCCATTTTTGGGCGTGGAGGGCTACGGAAAGGGCCTGGGCCAGCCAGAGGGGTCGAGGCAGAGGGCAGAGGCGGAAGACGAGCCATGGAAAACCATCGAAACAGAGTTCCAAAGGCTTCGGGGGGGAGGCCACGGAGCCCCGAGGGGCCAAGGGAAGGGCCAGGGGGGGGGAGGACTGGGCCACTGACCACGAGCGAAAATGAAGGGCACTGAGCCCGAGAACACAGCCGTACTGGATAGTCAAGGCATGGCCGTTCGACCCAACTGCCCAGCCCAGGGTCTGCTTGACCTGACTGGTCTCTCCATGTGGCGCCTGCCCGACCCGACCACTCGAGGTGATTATGGCCAGCCCCCTGGCCTGACCCGATCGTCAGGCTCGGGGCGCGACGGCTGGCCTGGCCCGACCCACACCCCCGAGTCAGCGCCAGCCCGACCCGACCGAACCCCACTGCCCGAGTTAAGGCCAGCCCCGCCCGACCCGACTCGACCTGCTTGAACCAGGGAGTGTCCGCCCGCCCGACCCAGCCCGACCGCCCGACTTGGGGCCCGCCCGTCCGATGATCCGCCCGACTGGGCGCGACTGGACCGTTCGATTTTTGGGGCCGCCCGATTGGAATTGACCGGCCCGCGTTCTCTTCCCTCACCCCCCCCCGCCTCCCACCCAGAGCTCACACACGATGAGCTTCAGAGATCGTTTGGAGTTTGGCTCTGTCAAGCGTGTGGACGAGTTGCCCATACTCAGATTCGTGGGCTTAGCACGCCATGTGACTCGTGTGTCCCCCCCCATCGTAGAGAGTATCTCGATCGATTGGAGGTGGGGCTGTGGCCAAAGTTGCTCAGCAAGGCTGAACAGCAAAGCTACAGGTTACCATCGTGACGGCTTTATTGGATAGCTGGATGCTCGATACTCCGTCCGACCTCCTCCAGCTTCGCCCTGCGACCTCTTCCGCCTCCTTCTTCCCTCCCTCCTCATCCTTCCCTAAGCTTCCTTCTTGGAATGCGATGAGGATAGCAGGATTTGATGATGCTGCTGCTGAAGATGATGACGGCGACGATGATGATGATGTTGATGCTGATTATGATGATGATGATGATGATGATGATGATGATGATGATGATGAGGAGGAGGAGGAGGAGGAGGAGGAGGAGGCTGCTGCTGCTGCTGCTGCTGCTGCTGCTGATGATGATGATGATGATGATGATGATGATAAGGCTGATGATGGTGATGATGATGCTGATGATGATGCTGATGATGCTGATGCTGGTGATCGTGATGCTGTTGATGCTGATGCTGCTGCTGATGATGGTGGTGGTGGTGATGCTGACGATGATGATGATACTGATGATGATGCTGATGATGCTGCTGACGATTATGGTGGTGTTGATTATGATGTTGATGTTGATGGCGATTATGATACTGTTGATGATTACGATGCTGATGATGCTGCTGATGATGATGCTGTTTATGACGATTTGTGTGATGATGATGGTGGTGGTGGTGGTGGTGGTGCCGACGACGGCGATGATGATGATGATGCTGCTGCTGCTGCTGATGATGATGATGATGATGATGTTGGTGGTTGTGGTGGTGGTGGCGGCGGTGGCTAACGACGACGATGATGCTGATGATGCTGCTGATGATGATGATGCTGCTGTTGCTGTTGATGGTGATGATTCTAAATAGAAGCCCCAGCATCACTGGTGGTGGTGATGATGATGACGAGGAGGAGGAGGGGGAGGGCAGAGGAGGAGGGCATTAACTAGCAGGATCAGGATGAGGATCAGTACGATCAGGAGCATAAGCAGGAGCAGGTTTGTGCAGGAGGAGGAGCAGCTTGCATGAGGACCACGACGACGACGCCGACGACGACCGATCGAAGACGCTGTCGCCACCGCGACGCAAGAGGCAAGGTAACGCCATAAGCTATAGTCATAACCATACGCCCTGGGGCGCATCGGCGACGACAGCAGCACCCACGCGTTCATGAAAGCATTCCGCACCTCGAAGTTTCTGAACTTCTCCATTTCCGCAGACACGACTGGCGTGTGGATGTAGCTGTGTTGTCCACTCAAGCCGTTTGTTTTGCCTACTTCGCCGCGCCGCAAGGAGTCCGCCGACCCGCTCATGCTTTGCGTCAGCGCCCCCCGCGGCGCGTACGACGCAGCCGTGCGCCTCGTGCGGGAGCGCCTGGAGGACCGCGTGGGTTGTGCGGTCGTGCGTGGTCTGGGCGAAGACCGGAGCAGTGGGGCTTGGCGTCATGAAGATTCGAGTTTCTGGTTTTGATTCTTGGATTCTCCTCCTTCCGCTCCTCCATTGTCCTCCTTCCCCTCCTCCGTACTTTTTCTTCCTCTCCTTCTTCCCTCCTCCTTTCTTCTCCGCCCCCTTCTCCTTTCTTCTCCTTCCCTTCCTCGTCCTCAACCTGGCCCTCCTCCTCCTCCTCCTCCTCCTCCTCCTTCTCCTCCTCCTCCTCCTCCTCTCACGCGCCCCTCTCTTCCTTTCCCGCGCTCCTGCTCCGTGAGCTTGTTGTGCGTGGTTGTTTTGCGCCTTGCCTTGGGGTGCTCTCCCAGCTGGGCACCTGGGCTGACAGAGCAGTCCAGAGAGTCCTCCGCGAGCTCGCGATACGCTCGTGGGCAGTGGCGCGGCGGCGGTCGTGGGTCACAGCATGTTTTGAGTGTAGCGCAGGGACATTCGCTGCTGGTGGTGTATGCGGTACAGTGGAGGCCCATGCCAAGAAACACCCTGCTTGTCTCGAGGGTGCTCTGGGTTTCTTAGGTTTCGATGGTTTTGCTATGGGAAGCGTGACGGTCCCACACCAAAAATCAATGGACGTCCTGGGGTCTCCTGGTTGGGTTTCTTGTGGAAATTTTCTTGTGGCCTGGCTTCCACTGTAATTGAATAAGGAAAAACGGCATAAACATAAACTTTTGATGCTTCGCGTGGATCTCTTGGGTCCGTGCTCAGCCCCCCCCCCCGGCGGCGCCTCCGGCGCCGTCCCTGGCGCGCTCCGCGGGCCAGGGAGGGGGGTCCAGCGCAGATCCAAGAAATCCGCGCGGAGCGCCAACCGTATATGTTGATGCCGTTTTTCGTTCCTCTAGTGTTTCCGGTAAAGAACTATCTGGACGTTTTTGTGGGCCATGCTGGGCCTCCTGGACGCGCTTCGCCAGCACTGCCAGATTCCTCGTTGGCGTTCCGGCCAGGAGGGGCTCCGGGAGGGACCCGGGGAGAACGAGGTCGAGCGCCGGAGCGGCGCGAGGAGCGACACGCTTTCCGCCGTCTAGGCCCAGTTCACGATGCGATCGGGCGAGCATCGAGGGCTTTTTCTCGTTGGTGCTCCGCGTGGGGCCTCCCTGTGGGGGCCCTCGTGCCCACAGGTGGCCACGACTGGGCACGCTTCGGCGAACCGGCTGGGATGGACCCCGGGAGGGGCCCGGGGAGCGATGTCGAGCGCACATCTCTAGGACGATGCCCTCTTGGGTCGCCCGCAGGCCGAGCGGCGTGAGGATCGTCGTCGTCGTCGTCGTCGTCGAAGCTCCAGGTGTCAGCAGGATTTCCGCCCTCTCTGGCCCTCCCTGGGCGCTCCTCGTCGCCTCCCCTCGGCATTCTGGCCAGAGCGCCTCTCCCAAGGGAGGCGCAGGGCGCCAAGTCTGAGAGGGAGTCTCCCTCAGACATCCGACGACGTGACCCTTTCAAGTCGAGGCCCCTGAGGTCCCGACCCCTTCCCCCGGGGGCAGCTTTGTCCACCAGATCCATTTCCGATGGTCCCCGGGCTGAAACCGAGGAAGAAACGCAGATTGGAAAAGTCAGACCGTCGGACATCTGGGCCACCAGACCTCCGGCGTCACGGGCCAAAGGGTCGTGCCTCTCCAGGCGGGAGTGGCGCAAGGGTCGCGAGAAGAGGAGAATCGCGCCTTGCGCTTCTGTGCGCGGAGCGCAGCGCGAAGCGAAGCAGGCGACTTGGGAGCCAGGGGAGGCGCTCCTCCTCCATCCCTCCTCCTCCTCCTACTCCTCCTCCTCCTCCTTCTCCTCCTCCTCCTCCTCCTCCTCCTCCTCCCTCCCTCCTCATCCCTCCTCCATCCCGATCCTTTGTGAAAAACTCCTCCGTGTCGCACCCCCAGGCGTGTCGGTGGGGCGGGCCCCGCGTTCCGCCTGATGTTTCCTTGTCGCGCAGTTTGACATGTGAGACATGTTTAAGGATAGGGGGTGGGCCGTTTTCAAAATGTGGCCATCGCTTCAGCGCCGCGCACATTCGTCTCAACAGTTCGCAGCAGTTTGGGGAAGGAGGGCGGGTAGTTCTCGAAAAAAAGGGATCGCGTCCTAGCGCCGCGCACATTTGTCTTACAGTTTGCAACAGTTTCAAGGATGGAGGGCAGGTCGTTTTCCAAATGTAGCTCTCGCCTCAGCGCCGCGCTCATTCGCACTAACAGTTCGCAGCAATTTCAAGGACGGAGGGCAGCCCGTTTTCAAAATGTGTCTCTCGCTTCAGCGCAGCGCACACTCGTCTTTACATTTGGCAGCCGTTTCAAAGATGGAGGGCGATTCCTTTTTCAAAGTGTGGCTCTCGCTTTAGCGCCGCGCGCATTCGTTTCAAACGTTGACACATGTTCAATGGCTCGAATGGTTGAAGTCCCAGGAACGGTGTTCTGGCAAAATTTAGGACTGGTAGGACGCAGCGGCCACGTGGATTCGCGATTTCTGTGGTCTCACGAAAAGGTGTTCTGACACGGTGACGGTTTAGGATAGTCAGGACGCAGCAGTCGCGCTGATTCGCAGGGTTGAAATTCCAGGACTTGTGTTTTGACACAATTGAGGAGTCTCAAGCGGTTATCTTCCAATATGGCACTTTCCGCTATGACGACACATTCGTGCAGGGACATTCGTAGAGGGAATGTGGAGGCAGGGCTGATTGCTACATCGGTGACGCGTCGTGGGTTTACACTGGTCCTCCTCCTCGTCCTTGTCCCCCTCCTCCTCCTCCCTCTGCCACTCCTCCTCCTTCTCTCCCCCCTGCTCCTTGCCTCCCTCCCTCCCTCCCCTCTCCGTGTCTCCTGTGCTCATGTTGCTTCTGCTGCTGCTGGTGCCCCCTCCCGCCTCCTTCCTCCTCCTCCTCCTCTTCCCCCTTCTCCTCTCCCTCCTCCTCCTCCTCCTCCCCTCCCCACTCCCCCTCCTCCTCTTCCCCCTCCTCCTCCTCCTCCTCCTCCTCCTCCTCCTCCTTTTCCTTCTTTTCCTCCTTTTCCTCCTTTTCCTCCTTTTCCTCTCCCTCTCCCTCCTCCTCCTCCTCCTCCTCCTCCTCCTTTCCACAATTACTCAATATGAGTACTACTCTCCTCCTTCCCTTGATGTCGGGTTGGGAGTGTTCGCCCCCCCCCCCCCCCCCCGCGTACTGTTTTTTACACAGGATTCCCCGGAGTTGGGTTTTCGCCTGCATTTTTTTCAAAATGCTGCTCTCGCTGAGGCGCCGGCCTCATTTTCGGGCCCCGCTCGTTCCGAATCGTGCTCCCGCTGCAGCGCTGGCCTCATTTCCGTGCTTCCGCTCGTTCCGAATCGTGCTCCCGCTGCAGCGCTGGCCTCATTTCCGCGCTTCCGCTCGTTCCGAATCGTGCTCCCGCTGCAGCGCTGGCGTCATTTCCCGTGCCATGCCACGGCATGCAATGCAATGCTAGGTTGCGTTCCGCTGCGCGATGCCATGCCTTCAGCTGAAGCTGTGATCTGCAGTGCGTAAGTGTCACGTCGTGCTATGCCATGCTACGCTTTGATCTTCAACGCCATGCTATGCAATGTTATATTCGGGGCCGCTGTGCGATGCCATGCTTTGCGTTGCAAAGCTTTGTGATGCAATTCTTCACTACGCCACGCCACGCCATGCTGTGACATACTACGCTTTGCGGTGCTCTTCTACGCCATGCCATGCCGTGCTCTACAATGCATCGCGTACCCTTTCGGGATCATTGCCCTGCTCGACATCCGACTGTGCGAGTAGAGAGGGGATCTACGCCATGGTAAGGGATGGGAGGGAGGGGTAGGATGTCAGATATGACGCGAGCGCACCTAGCTTGCCTTCCTCCCCCTCCCCCCCGTCCCTCCCCCACTCCGTCTTCCCCCCTCCTCCGGGAGGAGGATGGGGGAGGACGGGGTGGGCAGAGCAAAAAGGAGGAGGCGGAGGAGGAGGTAAACCCAAGACTCACCAACGACGTTGGGATAAGCCCTCCTTTCACGCTCCCTCCCCACAGGCCCCTACACGGATTCATTCCCACAGGGAAGTGCCCTGTTGGGAGACAACCGTCTCAAAATCTTGAAGCGTGCCAAAACACCGTTCTCGGGAATCAAACTCCACGAATCAACTTCACTGTTGCGCCTTGGCGATCCAGATTCGTGCCAGGACGCCGTTCCTGGGCATCAGATGCAGCGAATCAACGTACCTGTTGCGCCCTGGCAATCCTGAATCGTTCCAAAACGCTGTACCTGGTACGTTAACCAAGAGAACCAGTCGAACCCCTGCAGCTTTTTAGAACGAATGTGCGCGGCGCTAAGGCGAGAGCCACATTTCGAAATGGTACCGCCCTCAACCAATGGCCCTTTTACAACATGTTCAGACGAATGTGCGCAGATCTACAGTCCGAGAAGACATGCTTGGAAACGGATTCCCCGCTCGTTTCGGGGCAGCGTTTTTTTTTGCACGGCGTCTTCATCAGGGTGCGAGTGATGTTGTCTGCCTTTGGCGTCCCAGCACCATGTCGATGGGCCATGTCCTGGGCTTCCAGTCCAAAGGTGAACGACTGGGAGTGGATCCCGCGCTTGCGTCGCGGCCGCGCTCTCTGCAGCATCGTCATCAGGGTTCCAGTGAGTGGTACTCTGCTCATTCAGCGTTGCATGCCCTGCATGACGCGTGCTTGCGTGCTTGCGTTATTGTGTGCTTGAGCGTTGGCGTCGGAATGGTGCTCTCGCCGCCACGTGGGCCATAATTTCGAGGGTGCTTTTGGAACAATTGCGTGTCTAGACGGGGAATTGTACGACCAGGTTGCTGACCTACGGGAGGTGCGGGAATTAGATCAAGCACGCCAGCTAAGGTGCGTTGAGTGCTATTTGTGAGTCTTTGTCTCGCGCAAAAAAAAAAACAATCTCCGCTAGGATGCGGATGCGCGGATGCGCTCGAGACTGATGGTTTCGTGGCATTGTGAGACCATGTGAGACGCACGGATGCGCTCGGCGCCGCGGGGTTCGTGGCACTTTTGAGGCCATGTCAAACGCGCGCATGTGCTCGGCGCCGAGTGTTTCGTGGCACAGTGGGACCATGTGCGGCGCACGGATGTGGTCGGCGCCGAGGGTTTCGTGGCACTGTGAGACCATGTGAACCGCGCGCATGTGCTCGGCGCCGAAGGTTCCGTGGCACTTCGAGGCCTTGTGCAGCGCGCGGATGCGCTCGGCGCTGGGGGTTTCGTGGCAGTGTGAGACCATATGAAACGCACGGATGTGTTCGGCGCCGGGGGTTCCGTGGCATTGTGACGCCCTTTGGGTCCTCTCGAGAGTGCTGGAGACCGCCATGGGGGCCGCCCGGTGTGAATATCTATGCCGTTTCTGGTATGCAGATTTTGAAACCCGTACGACCCTCACCCATTATAACACTTAGTCCGGGGTAGGGCAGTCTCAGAGTGGTTGGAGCGCGGAAGGCCGCCGCCCACGCGCGATCCGAGCGCCGCAGAATTTTAGCACAGTTTATGGCCCACGTCCGCTCGGCGTGCGTGCACTGCGCGGTGGGACTGATTGGGGTTGTTTTTGATCAGATCTCTGCGCAAATAAATCCATTCGTGCAATGCGACGTTTTGTTTTCTATGTTTTCGCCGACTTGTGCGGCGAGAGCCACATTTTTAACATGTCCCGCCCTCAGTCCGCGAACTATTTGCAAGTTGTTGAGGCGAATGTGCGCGGCGCTAAGGCAAGAGTCACATTTTGAAAGCGACCCGCTCTCGATCTGGGGAATTGTTGCGAATGGTGAAGGTTTAGGGTTTAGCGCTTAGGGCTTAGGGGTTGGAGTCAAACAGGACGAATGTGTCAACAGAGTGGACGTGTCATACACTGGAGCGGAGCTCACATCCCACGCGCCGGAGAAACCCACTGCATACGAAGACGCACGCTCTGTCTGATGCATGCAAGCCAGCGGGGAAAACCGTGTGGGCGTCGCGGCAGCGGACTGATTGGAACGCACCTTCGAGCGGGCGCCGCGTGGGCGGAATGTGGGCCGCACCATATCTTTCGTTGACGATCGTGGGCGGGCACTACAGCCGCACGGGCGGAATGTCCCCAGCGCCACATTTCCAAGGGGTGATCGCGAAAGGCAAGGAATTCGTTCCCTTCGGCCGCGCGCTGGATGTGACCTGCGCCATATCGTGCGAGTTTATGTATTCGTTTCGCATGGTGATGTGCGCCGCACCACGGTTTTTATAGGACTTAGCCCCCAACGCGGGAATCATAAAACCTTTCCTTTCTAGGATTGCAATAATCTTTTCGTCATCGTTTCGGGTTGAGGGTTTCGGGCCTCAGCGTCAGGATCATAATTTCTAAGGAAGTCTCCGGCGGAACGCTCGGCCCGCCTTTCCGACTGGCCTCGGGGTGCGACAGGGAGGAATCATTATCAAGACCAGGAATGGAGGGAGGAGGAGGGGAAGGAGGTGGAGGAGGAGGAGGAGGAGGAGGAGGAAGAGGAGGGATGCGTGAGAAGGAGGAGGAGTGGGAACGATAATCGAGGCGGGAGGAGGAGGAGGAGGAGGAGGAGGAGGAGGAGGAGGAGGAGACTTTCTGACCTTGGCTCCTTGGGCGCGCCCTACTATTGAGCATATCGGATATGGGCCAGGCCCCTCCAGGAGAAGGCTCAACAATATACATGCGTGTCAAATGCACACTTTAGCTGCCAAGACAGGGTTCGGGCTCCCCGCTTACTTTAATCATTTCTCCCGGGGGGCGCGTTGCACCCAGCGTCGCGCAAGTGACTTACATGTCGAAGTCAGATCCGCACTTTTAAAGGGAGGGCCACATCGGAAGTGGATGGAGGACGGATGCCAGCTGGTGGATTGCACCTCGTGGGCCCCTCTTGTCCCCTCCCTCTGGTTTTTTGCTCACGTTGGCGACGGAGCAGCTGAACGCAAGAGCGCGCGGGGCCATCACTTGCCCTCTGCGTCCCGCCTTCGTCGGGTTGTGAGGCGGACAGGCTTTCGCCGAGTAGTTGAGGGGTGCCTGTGACACACATCCCAGGCTCTCAGCAAAGCAAAAGACCACGCTTGCAATCAGGCGTGTGAGAAAAATGGGCTCGGGGGTGCTCTGGGTGGGCCAAGGCCGCTGCATGGCCGTCAACTACCCGCGGCATCGCCCCTCACAACTCCCAGACTTGAGTTCGGACGGCTTGTACCCCAATGCGGGGAATTTGCCAAAGAACACCTGAGAGCGAAGAGCTTCGCCCCTCTTCACAGGCACGTGTCCAGCCTCCCTCGCTCGCCGCCGGCGTGTGACGTCCGCACGCAGTGCGCGCGGCCTACGAAAGTGCCGTCCTGCACGATGATCTTTATACCGAGCACAGGCGAGACTAGCCTCGCGGGTTACCTCGAGGAGACTGCGGAGCATCCTGCGGGGCCACCAAATCAACGCATTGACAAAGGACACGGTCAGCGTACGCAGGGCATACCTCCCCGCCACCAGCGCCCACACCGGCAACATGACCCAGTGCCCCAGAGACCTTAACTTTGCAGACCAGGACCCAGATCTGGCCTGAGAAAACGGATAACGGAGACTGTTCCGATCCGCGGTTGCAGTTTTGGCAGGCGTGCCAGTGTCCTGGTTTATCAGAGTCCCCGTCTACGGAGCTTTGAATACGTACTCAGCACGGCGCACCTGTTCATTCTCCGTGCTCTTCCTCAGAAGGTCCCCACGCAGAGAGGGCAGCGGCCGCATCACCTCTGGTCCGGAGCGGCTCCAGACGACCAGATCGGTGATCTGCCCCCGATCCCAGATCAGAAGCCGCCGATCGAGCATGCAGCCGAGGCGCTGAAAGAAGGATCGGCTCGGGTTCGGGAGGGGCTTGTCGCTCCTGGGGGGGTCCTTTCCTGGTTGCTCTTCCAGCTGCCCTCGTGCACCCGGGCGCTTCGGGTCCAAAAAGGGGCTTCGTTTCTTGCGCGGCGTTCCTTGCCGTGGCAGCTCGATCGTGCGAGCCACCGCCGCTCGGGAAACGCCGACGGGGTGCGCACTGAGGGGAGGCAGTCCGAGAACGCCGCGGTATCGCCCGTGGGGTGCGGGAGGAGTGCGTACGGAGCACGCAGTTCGGCTCGACGGCTCGGCTGAGCCTGCGCGGATAAAGCGCCGCACGGGACCCCGTCAAAGTGGTAATCACCAGGAACACTCGGGACATCGATCTTGACTAGGGCCTACCCACATGGGAGGAGGACGAGGCCGAGGCCGAGGACGCGGAGGAGGAGGAGGCGGAGGAGGAGGAGGAGGAGGATGAGAAAGAGGAGGAGGAGGAGGAGGAGTAGGAGTAGGAGGAAGGGGATGTGGGGGAGGAGTAATAGAATGAGGGAACAGGAGGAGGAGTAGGAGGAGGAGCAGGAGCAGGAGGAGGAGGGGAGGAGGAGGTGGAACGGGGGGGGGGTAGGAGGGGGTAGAAGAGGATCAGCTGGAGCATGAGACTACCAAATGGAGAGGGTGATCTCTGAGGGCCCTGCGCTACCCTGGACAAGCAATTCAACTCTCGTGCGCGGTCCGTCTCCCCACGCCTCATCATTTACATCGAGCAGAGCAGTGCGCGCTTCGATTTTTCCGCAGTCGGCCGCGGCTGACTCAGCAGTGAGATGGGGGGCCGGGGGGGAGGGTTTTTCAATGGGTATGTGAGTCCCGAGGAGGTTTCCAGGGGCCTGATCTTCCACGGATGATTCGGAGGAGAGGGGGATCAGGAGCAGGAGGAGCATCAGGAGGTGGAGTGGCAGGTTCTGAGCGAAAAGGACGGCCCCGTCGCCTCTGGAGGACGTGTACGCTGAGTACAGAAAGGCCTTCCCGAACGAGTCACGTCAGCTGTGCATCGACTTGCACGAGGGCCCGCGGGATGGTAGTTACTGAGATACTGAGAATTCCGCGGTCACCGCTACTTGCACGCTCCACTGCCCTTGTCGCCGTTGTCGCGCTGAATCCTTCTGGGACTGAGGATTATCCCCTCCCTTCCGAATAACTGTTCCTCGCGAGCGATGCTTACGCATGCAGTGCGAGCGCTGCGGGTTAGTCAGCGATTCTTCCCACCATCACGTCCCAGTCACGGGACGACGTTTCGTGAGCCACTAGGCCCTTTTTTCTCGGTCAGGTCGGTCAGGCCTCGCAGGATGAAGCGGTGAGGCTGGGTTCTCCCTCTTCGCTCAGACCCTGTACCGCGGCGCTCTGATGCGCGCGTCTCCGATCGCAACTGATACGGAAGTGAAAGCGTGTCCTCCTCTTCCCTGACGGCTGCGACCCCCTCGAGTCCTCGCCCATTGGCTGTTCCTCGTTGGGCGATGGCTGCGGGCAAGATTTATATCCTTCCCCACGGCGTCTTTGATTTTTCTGGCAAGGGATGCCAACAATCCGAGTCGCAGTGCATATGGATGAACATTTGGCCTCGCCAGAGACCGTATTCATATCCATCTCCACTGTGTCTCGACTTTCGAGGGAGGGAATCCGAACACCCGCGATGCAGTGGCTATGAGTATGATCAGGGCTTTTGCATAGCGCGTCGCGCCGCCATTGCTGGCTCACCACGCCTCAGCGCGACATGCTATCGACTTCGCGGTCCTCGAGCGCCAACGTTCGGAGCCTTTCCCAGCCTCCTGCCCCGCGGGGTCAAGCGACACGCTACTAGCTTGCAGGGCACAGCGTGTCGCCGGGATCGCCGCCGCGACACGCTAAGCAAACGTTCCCGACCCTATACGCCCGACGACATATTATGTCGACTCCCACAGGTCTTGACGCATTCATCCCGAGTCGTTTTTTAACGGTTCTGGGCCCTGGTAAGGGCCCCCAGATTACGAGAATAGCGATAAATCTTACGTCGTGATTTTTTCATGGCTCGAGGGGGTTTGGGAATGGCATGGCTCATTTCGACTCTTCCGATTCGATGCGATTCGATTTCGATGGCTTCCGATCCAGATTCGACCTGATCTCAGATTCCGATTTCTCAGTGGAGGCCGACTGACCCGCCGATCTCCGCCGACCCGACTCGTCCCGACTCGGCTGGTGACTCCCGCCGACCCGATTCGTTTCGACCGCCGATCCCACTCATAGGGAGCCCACAAAGGACGTACGCGCCCAGCTATGTACATGAACACGGCCCCTCGATTCGCGAGACCGGCCGCGTTATACGAACATGTGTGCAGTGCGTGCTCTCGAAACCAGCGTGGATTCATGTACATGTACGTCCTTCTTTCGCCCCTGAACTCACGGATTCGATTCTGGGCTCGCCTGCCTGTTTTGTCGCAGTCCTCGGCCTCCAGAGGCCACCTCTCCCGTGCCCTGGGAGCGTCGACCAGACTAGGCTCGGGACGAGGAGCTGGCCCGGGGAGAGCACGCCGCGAGATCTCCCTGGGGCCGCCGCCGTGACAACCGATGCGGCCCTGGAGGAGAGGGGAACTTCCGTTGTGGAGGACGATCGCAGGGGAGGAAACATGCTGTCAAAGAATTTCCAGATGTCTAAAAGAAGTGTCAAACGTGTTTTAACTATGTAAACACAGGTTTGAAACACTTTTAGAACATGTTTTACACTTTTAAACATATCTTCAATTCAATGATGGGATTTTGAGAGTGTCCATTGTCATGGCATCCGCATACCGGGAGGAAGAAACATACGGACACAAACAAACTCCGATTCCAAGAATATTTGGGAAACGATGGGAAGTGGCGGGGACAACTAACGGCCCTCTCGCCACGCACTGCTCGGACTTGCTCCTCGGCACGCACTGCTTGGACTTGCTCCTTTCCCCTCTGGAGGATGTTTTTTTGTTCCCGTGCGAGAGCGGGCGTTGCCGGGGGGAGGGCGAAGGGGGAGGGTGGGGCAGGCAACGCCACGTTTCGCGCCCGCGCCGTTGGGGAATGTCTGGGGAGGGCCAACGACAGCTCGGAGGTGAGCACGGATCGTGACGTCACCTCGGGGGGCGGTGAGGGGGGGGCGGCCGGGGCCGGTAGCGGCCCCTACCTCTCGCCACGCGCTGCTTGGACGTGCTCGTCGGCACGCATGCGGCGGCCCTCACGGTCTGAGTTTGCCTCCCTCCCCGCGTCTCCTCCGGCCCTCCCTCCCCGCGCTCCTTTGGTGCCTGGCGGTGCTCTGGCGTGTCCCGCCGCCGCTTTAACTACAGCCGTTTGGTCTCCTCACGGCCGCTGACCAAGACAGGTTTTGGCAGTTCGGTCGGAGTGGGCCATGTTCCGTCTGCTCCTGCTGTGCGGGACAGGGCTCCACCCAGGCCATCGATGCCGGAAGGCCCCAGCCTCGTCCGAAGTGTGTTATCCCTTGGTGGGCGCTGGGATGGCAGAGTGTTGCATGTGAGCGTTTTTGGCGAAACACAGTTTCACAACATGTTTTCGAAATCTGGCCAGTGAATATGAAAACGACCAAACAGCTGTTCACCGACAC